TTGGTAGGCAAATTCTATATACTATAGATCCTTTTATGTTTATATTTAATACAAGCATTTCCTCAATATTCGATTTCAAACAATTGTGCTAGTTTAACACCATTTTTTTATACAATATTTAAGCAAAAATAATTATAACTAACGCTTTGTTAATTATAATTGTTGTAGATATCTTTAAATGCCTATAATTAAACAATTAATAATTCTATAATTGTGTTTTGCTATTATTATAATTCAAAGGGTTATAGTACTATATAGCACAGTAATCCCACGATCACATTTTTTCAGTCATCAATAGATTTAGGTCCTTATATGTAATATTTTTTAAAATTAAACCCTTATATGTAATTTTTTTAATTTGGATCTATATTTGTAATTATTTTCACCTTATTTGTAAATTTCTCTAAAATATACAATAAACTATATAAATAAACTAATAAAATAATTAAATATATAATAAAAGAAATTCTAAACATCTTTAGCTAGAGATGTTTAACTTATACATTTCTGGCCTCAAAACTATATCTGTTTATATAACTTTGATTAGGTTTAAGTTACATAGAGTTAAGGTAAAAGCAAATATTATATGTAAAATTGCCTTTCAAACATTTTTAATTAGTGTCTCAAAATAGGTTTAGATAACTTTTTTTGTATTTTTTTTATTTTTCTCTGTTTCGCTTCCTTTGTTGTTGTTTTTGTTTCACTAGACTGATCTGAAATAATCATCTTTATGTTACTTTTATACTATACAAAAATGATTATCATGTAATTTAGTTGCATTTTAATTAGCTATTCGATCTGAAATATTATCAATAAGCATCTCTAAACATCTCTAGCTAGAGATGTCTAGAAATACATATATAATAATTATATAAAATATATAATAAAATTTAAGAAAATATATAAGAAAAATGTTAATAAACTTTGTTTATATTATAATAATACATTTTAAATATATATATACTTTATAAATATTTTTGCTTAATTTTATTAAAAAGTTTCTAAAGCTATTCTGCTTTTGTTCAAAAAAATGTTTAGAATAGAATTGATTTTTCAAATATACTATCTACTATACTAATTTTATACAATATTTATACTGAATGTTGTCGTTCCAAAATTATTTTTTTTACATTACAGCATAAAAATTGTACAATATTGTACTGGCATTTGGAAAATTGAATCTATTTCGAACATTTTTCAAACAATATCTACAATAACTGAACAAATTTTTTTATAGAAATGCCAGTTATTAGTGAGTATTTAGCTATATTGATCTGTGCCATTAGATAGATTTCTGTTTACTTATTGTATATTTATACATTTATAGAATCTTTTGAAAAGAATTTTTAACTTATACTTCAACTACTATATACTTTATAGGTTTCTATTTTCTTCTAATTTGTTAATTTTAGATATAACAAAATTAAATATAAACTCTTTAAAAGAAAAACATTATTATTGTCCTATTTTTTTTTTAATAAGATATGATTTAGGATAGATTATCTAATTTTTTTTTCAAAGAATTTTTTAAAACTGTGCAATTTATTTAACCATATCAGTGACATTGGTTTGATTCAGTTAAATTTGTTTAATTTATATTATTGCAGCTACAGAACCCAATTACCATGTAAAGTTATTGTACTGCCATCATAGTTGAGAGCTTAATAACCAAAAATGAGGATCTTATACTTCCGCAGCAGCCATAGAGCCTAATCAAAACATCCTAATCACAACATAAGGTCACTTCACTATTACCAAACATGAGGTTCTTGCACTGTTTGCGGTAACCATCATAGCATGAAGTTCTTGCATTGCTATCGCAACCATAAAGCCTAAGCATAATATAAGATTTTTACACTGCTATAGTTGCGAAGCTTAGTCACCAAACATGAGTTCTTGCACTGCTTGCGGCAACCATAGAGACTAATCATGATACGAGGTTCTTGTATTGCTATCGTAGCCACAGAGCCTAATTACAACGTGAGGTCCTTACACTGCTATTGTAGGTGCAGAGCTTAATCACTGAACATAGATTCTTGCGCTGTCTGCAGCAGCCATTGAGCCTAATCATAACATGAAGTCCTTGCATTACTATTACAACCACAGAGCCTAATCAAAACGTAAGGTCCTTTTACTACTACCGTAGTTGCAGAGTTTAATCGCCAAACATAAGGTTCTTGTATTTCCCGTAGCTGCCATAGAGACTAATCACAACATGAGGTTTTTGCATTGCTATTGCAGTCACAAAGCCTAATCACAATGTAAGATTATTGCACTGCTATTATAATTGCGAAGTGCAATCACCCAAATATAAGGTTTATGCATTGCTTGTGACAGTCATTGAGCCTAATTGTAACATGAGGATCTTGCATCGCTATCGCAACCCTGAAGTCCAATCACAACATAGGTCATTGCACTGGTATATACAATATAGTAAAGTACACTTATCTTTAAACAATTCAAGCGTCTAGTTATTAATAATAATGCTTTATAAAAATTAAGACCAAAATAACTTCTACTAAAGCCTTTAATCATTAATTTGCTTTTAGTATAAATTTTGTTCAAGTAATGTCGTGGCTGATGGCTGATGCTGAAATTTGGACCTATTTTGATACGAAATTTTAAAAAAATTTTGGGGTGTTTTTCTACAACTTTTTTTTATAGTTAGGTTAGGATTTAGGGTTAGAATTTATTTTAGAGTATATGTGGTTTTTAGCAGGCATAATATTTTAAAATTGTGACCCCAAAAATTTTAGCATCAGCCAATTTCAGCATCAGCCGCGACAAGTAATTATTAGAAAGTTTTTCACTTTTGCATATATTTATAGAAATATATAATAACTATGGTTTTGATTAATTTTTAAATATATTTTGTATAGGCCTCACCTTTGAAGATTAAAATATATATATATATATATATATTTTGTATATAAATATTTAACCTCAAAAATTTATCTTAATCCCAAAATATAAACGAAGCTATTATTTTTTTTTAGAATATTAAAGAGATAAAAAAAAAATGCTATAAAAAGAAGTATAAACCAAACTAACTTCATGATCTATTACAAAATAAACGATATGTATGGCAGATGAACTATATAATATTATTCAGCAGTGTGAATAACATATGTTCTTTGATTTTATTGATATAAATTAAAAGCAATCCTAATTTTGTCATACAAAACAAAGAGATGTAAATGAAGTCGAATTTTCTAAAACTATTGTGTTAAAATTAACTGTCCTAAAATTAATTATGCATTATATCCCATTGGACATGTTAAAGTTACCATGCGCACATTTAAGCGCGCCAGATATCCCACAGAGGAACAGGCTTGCCGACCTCTCTCTTCACCTTCATCATTTGTCTGTAGAATTACCTTTCTTGAGTTCCATAGTGCCAATTTCCCTCTTTGCGGTCTCCGAAGGTTGTATTTCCAGAGGCGGGAGGCAGATGCAAAATCTGTTTGGAGTGAACACGCCCAACGGATCATTAAGTTTTTTGATGTTGCACAGTCGATCATACTTTCCTTCTGGTTGTTGGTCGTAATAATACTGCTGAGTAGCACTCAAGTCCAAATTGAAAGAACCCCACAAAAGGCGATGATCTTGTTCGCAAAATGGGGACTCCGGCTTACCAACCCCTTCATCGTTTCCTTGCTGCCACTTTATTGCCTGCTCATGAAGGTAAACATGGTAAAATGCATTCAGCAAGCAATAAATGCGCGTATCTCGCCAACTGAATAACGTGGGACTGTTCTTTCCATTTTGATAAAATTTTGAGTTGATACCACCAAAATGCTGAAATTGTGCATTCAATTTTAAATTCTTCCACTTTGCCCCATCTTCGATTCGACCGGTAATCCAGTCCGTCCACCCGAACTTCTTGAGCCTCTGGGCACTGGAATTGGACGCATATACACGCTTGACGTACGGATATTTAAACTCTCGAGTGATTGGAAAAAACCAATGACCAGTCAATGTAGACATTGGTGTGTGTTCCTTGTCACTGACTTGGATTATCCCTTTCCCGGCCACCTGTCGAATTTTATTGATGAAGTTCGAATTGTAACTTTGCTGATGTCCTTGTAGATTGGCCCACTGTGCGAAAACAACGATCGTTGGAGGCCAAGCTACCACTGATGGGCCATGATCATATATCATATCGTATGTTAATTCCATAGTATCAAACTTCGGCTCGCTAGACACTGTGATACAATAGTCATAATCAGCTGGAAAATTTTCATCTTCGACCATTTCCACCATAATATCCAACAAGGCCTTGAGACGCTGACGGCTATATGGGTATTCAGCTCTGAGACCTCGAGAGTTCGGGTAGTCTTCGTCTCTAAAGACATCAAGTGTGACGTGAGTAAGTACCCCAAAATTTCCAGGACTACCACCCAATACAGCGAAAAACAAATCTTGGTCCTGGTCAAAGTTGCGACGAACCCACTGCACTTGACCATTAGCAGTAATCAAGCGGAATTTTATGACATGATCAGAGAGGAGCCCGAAACTTCTGGTCAACTGACCGTATCCTCCAGTTTGAATATGTCCACCCATATTGACGTACTGACATTGACCATGTGGCACAAATCGATTTTTTTCCCTAAGTTTGGAATTAAACTCACCCAACGTGAAGCTAATACCGAGCGTCACCGTTGTGCAATTCTCATTGTCACATTTAAAATCCTTATATGTCTGGGATAAATCTAGCTGAATGTTTTTTCCATTTGTAGACGACGCGCCGCTAAATTGATGACCTCCTGTGCGCACAGCCACAGCGATTTTTTTGTCTCTCGCATATCTGATGGCTTTGATTACATCACTGTCGTCTGCTGCCTTTATAATAACCGCCGGTTGAATGATGCCCTCATCCAAATATGAGCTCGAAGCATATTGATAGCTTTGAGCCTCGTAGTCAGCATCACCGCGTTTGATCACCTTGCCTTTGAACTCCGGAAATTGCTGCCCGTCATCCGCAGAACTGAGATTTTTTCCGTCTGTCATTTTAATTGCAAATTGTTAGAAATCGAATATTGAGGAAATGCTTGTATTAAATATAAACATAAAAGGATCTATAGTATATAGAATTTGCCTACCAA